GGGCATATTTCTGAGCTGTTAAATGTTGTATTTTAATCTGCAAGGATAGCTGACAGCCAAATCAGCCAGGGGTCCCACACACTATTCAAGATAAGAACGTTTTACTTGGCAGAAGCTACTCTTGGTGGTGTCCCAGCTTGGTTCCTGCTGCCTTCATTACTCAGGGATGCTCTGCAGTTTTGCCTCCTACCCAGCATTGGGGGTTGGGAGAGATCATAAGACACTGTGCAGTAAGCTTTTTCTGTCCTGCACGTGGATAAAACCAGATCAATGGAATCTAAGAATGTGAGAGATAGTGGGGAAATGGCAGGGGGTTTCTCTGTTATGTCTAACCCACCCCTTCTGTGGAGGACTGAGACCCAAACTAAAACACCATTCTAGAGCCCGAACCCAAACTTCAAAGCACCGTGGGATAGGAGGCACAGAAGCAGGACCCAAAAATTAAATAATACAATGAAGGCTTAAATTTCCAAGTTGATTCTTTGGTAATATTTATAAAAGTTAACAGGGCATATTTAATTTAGGAATTGGCTCACGTCTTTCTCCTTACAGCTGAAATTTCATAAATGAAATATACTGGATCATTGCCCAGTGCGGAAATAAAAGTTATGAATAATGCTTCTATCTCAATCATTGTCAGTGCTTTAATATTCTTAATTACTTAAAAAAAAAACCCTAGATATTCAATATAAGGGAAACGTCTTTTCTTCTAGACTCCACTTGTGAGATTAGTGCAATTTAATAAAAGTCACTCTGTCGTCTTTATTCAGGGTAGACTGACATTTCATCCTTTTATTCTTTATTATTATATAGGATGGAGGTTTATGATCAAGCATGCGGCCACTCCATTTCTCCCTATTGGTCCGTTTTAACGTCTCAGAGTTACCCATAATAGCTGACATGTCTACCCATGAAACAAGTCAGTATCACCTCACTTCCTTTATAGAGCAGAAAGAAATTAGTCAAGGCCTTAAAGAAATTAGGCTATGGGGTTAAAAGTCTGTAAAAGAATGAAAAGTCCCCCCCACCCAACACACACACTCCACTACTAGATTCATCGCCTTCACAACTATCAAAGTTATAAATCCCTTGGCAGCCACAAAAGGTAGGGCAGGGGTAGGCGGTAGGATGATGGATCTTTACAAGCCTCTCTGCCACTTCCAGGAATTTATCCTAAGAAGAAATTGGGACAAGTGGGCAAAGATATATATGCACAAGAAGAATCACTCAAGTGTTTTTACACAGGGCCACAGTGCCTTATCCATGTGTCCACAATCCAAAAATCTCTAAAATGTCCAAAAGAAACTTTTTTTAAAGTTCAGCACCAAAATTTAGAGACAAAATCTATATGGAACTAATATGTGGTTATCTATTTTCTATATGTCACTAGATATGATCAGACATTGTCACTTCAGAAATATTATTAGATTTCATCCCAGGGTTCTGTCCAGAACCCACTGGGGATATATGTCACATATAATATATTCTAAACTGAAAAAAGATCTAAATTTTGAAACAGCAGGCTCAACGACCTTGGATAAAGGATGGTGGCCCTGAAATACTGAAAAATCAGAAACAACCTACATGCCCATCGAAAAGACTGCACTGATCAAGACACCCATCCCCACGGACACAGGCCCCACAAAGACCCTAAGGCAGCAGTCCCCAGCCTTTTTGGCACCAGGGACCGGTGCTCCTATGAGAATCTAATGCTTGATGATCTGAAGTGGAGCTGAGGTGGCGATGCTAGAGCTGGGGAGCGGCTGCAAATACAGATGATGCTTTTTCCCCGCTACTCACTTCCTGCTGTGTGGCCTAGTTCCTAACAAGCCACGGACTGGTACAGGTCTGCAGTCTGGGGGTTGGGGACCTCTGCCCTAAGACGCTGCAGAGCACACCCAGGCAGACAGGTGTCCAATAGCACAATAGCTAAAAGTCTCAAACTACTTGGAATAAACCTAGTCACAATTTGCGTACCTTGGCTGATTCCTCTATCTCCACAACAATATTTTGGGGCCACATCTTTTAAGCAGATCCTTCCTTCCCCTGTGAGCAACTACGTTTTCTCATCACTTTCAACCTAAGGTTGTATTAACAGAGGTTGAGCATCCAGAAGGAAGAAGAGCATAAAAATTAAATGTTTAGGTTTAGGACCTAGGTTTTTGCTGAACTAATTGTCCCAGTTTCAGCATTTACTAGCTGTGTGTCTGTTGAAAGTTGTTTAACCTCTCTGTGTTTCAACTCTCTCACTTGTAAAGGGGCTAATAATAATCCCTACATCATAGAGAAGATTAAATGAGAAGATAAAGTGCCTAGTACACAGTAAAATTCAACAAGTAGTACCTATCTCTCTTATTATTTTCCATACAAGCCTGCAGTTGTATGGTCAGATTTAGGAATGCTAGTTTAAGAGGAATAAAGGTCACAGCCAATGGAGTGAAACTAGATGGAGAAGGAAATTCAGACCATGTCATGTGAGAAACAAAGGAGCTAGAGAATAAAAACTTGGGAGAGAGAAGCGATCACTGTCTTCTAATACATGAAGGGCTGATCCATGGAAGGGGACTCTACCTTCTTTTATGTGGCCTTGGTGGCTATTATCAATTGCTCTGAGATGACCATTTTTCCCCAGTCTGTGGTCTTGTCCACTGAGCTCCTTGGTAGAAATTCTATAAGTGGCAAAGAGGGTCATGGCAGTCATTCAACCCACTCTGGCCTTTATCATGAGTGAGAATCAACTGGTAGAAGCTAGAGATAGATTTCTACTCAAGAGAAGGGAAAGTCTTCCAATAGTCAGAATGTGTGTCCACAGGAGGCAGTGAGCTCCTTGTTAAGGGGGGCGGTGGTGGGGGGTGGGGGGTGCAGCGGGAATAGAAGCAGAAGTTGGAAAGCTCATGGAAGGGCATCTAAACATTCAATGCTCTGAATGCTTTTGAGAGTGAGAGTCTATAAATTCCTTTCAATGAGGCCCTTCCTCAAAACAGGTTTGGAACCCATCTTTTAGGATTTCCTGTGGGTTTAGTAGCATATGCCTTCGAGTAGACCCAGGGGTGGTGGCTTTTCAACCCATGAAGTTGGATTTACTAAGGGAACAACTGTGGGTTGTTCAGCACCACGTCTGATAACTGAATTGGGGGTGAGGAAATTAGACAGCCCAGTTTTGTACTGTAAGGTAACAAGGCTATTTGCCTACATGCTTGATAAACTCACTCTAGAGGCAAGATTTACTCTCAATCATCTAGTCTTATTTGTCAAGTGTTGCCTCCATTCTATTTCTTTCCCCAGACAGGAAACCCTGAGAGATACAGACCATGTCTAAAAGACCCTCCAGGGGCTACCCCTCCCTGCCCAACACAGTCCAGCATATGGTGAGCACCAAATACACTGGCACTGATTGGTAATTTATATGCACTCAGGGCCCCTGGGACTCAGGCTGTATTTCAACTTCCAACAGGCTGCCCTTGACATTATAATCTAGCAGCAGCAAGCAGATCTGTCTCAGCAGAGCTCTCTTAATCCAAGTTAGATAGTTCTTCATCAAAGATTCATTGTAAGCAAAATTACACAAAGCAAAAAAGCTCTCAAACATTTCAGCCAACATGTTTCTTGCAGCTCATAGAAAGACTGGTTGAGCACATTCCTTTAACTTGCATGTCTCTCGGGTTTACATTTTGTTGTCTGGAGGAGTCCTTGGCCCTATGTCTCAACATGGCCCACCTCAAAGTAATAAAACAGGTGGTAGGTGGAGGCCACTGCGGTCACCAACATATTGAAGAGAGTCTCTTGAATATCCAAACAGATCCTGGACCCCCCAATCCAAGATAACCACCCAGGCTCAAAACAAAACCATATCCAATAGCTTTGTTTTGATTGATATATTCTAATGCAATGGGTAAACAGGGAGTTTCCAGGTAAGGACTTCAGAAAAAAGGACCAAAACTAGAGCAGAGAAAGTGAAAAAGGGCAAAACTACATATGGCCGTCATGGACCCAACATTCCTCCCCAAGTTTTCATGGCCACTATAGTCACCATGGCACTGTGGCTCCCACTGAGAGGTCAGTAATGGGGCTTAGACCCCTATTGGATCAGCTTAGTTATCTACTCAAGTCACAATTAAAAAGATACTGTACCCCAGCTCAAAGCAGGAAGAAAATGGGCTTCAACACTAATCAAGGCCTCTTTGAAAATCACGTAAGATCATTTTGTTAGCCAACCATTGATTGCAAGATGTGCCAATGGAAAGGGGGTCATCTGCAAGAATCGAAGGGAAATGAGCCAGCAGTGATGTATTTGCCTTCATCTGGGCTCTTGGCAGATACCCTAAGCAGCTGCCAGGTGTACCCCATCCTCTTGGAGGCCAGTGCCACAGTAGAGAGGATGTCCTGTGCCACTGTGGATCACTTGGTCAGTCCCAAGAGCATCTACCTCACTTTGTGCCTATAAGGAAGCCTTTCCCGGAGAGATACAGGAATGCAGTGATTTGCCCCTACCTGTGGGCAAATCATTCTCCTGTGGGGACACAGAGGCATCTCAGTGTCTACCAGGCCCATGAATCAATCCTGAGCCTTTGTGAGCACCCACAAAACTGAGCCCTTGTATCAACAAAGCCGAGGACCAGGCCTTTACAACAGTGACTTCCTGGATCTGTACCCTCAATCTGTACCTTCCTGGATCTGTACATCTCAATTTCACTTCAGCCTTCAAAGACCATATCTAGATGTGTTTCATCAAAAATAAGAGTTGTACTGATGACCCCACAATTCCCCCATAAACCACACACAACACACAATACCCCATCAGACCCCCATAAACCATTACCCCCATGCCACTTGAGCCCTCCACCCCAAGTACCATCATGTACCAAACTGCAGGTATGCCTCCTCCCTGATACCCACACTTGCCTAGGCAGCCCCAGCCCAACACAAAGAATTCAGCATGTACCCAGCACAGGCTCGCCAGAGCCAGGGGGCTGCCCAAGCCCCAAAGACCGCAGACTCACCGCTGGAGCAGTCAGGTCCTCCCCAGCCAGGCTCACAGTGGCAGGTGTCTGGGGAAACACAACGGCCATGCACACACTCCTCTGTACACAGGGCTGTGGGGGCCAGGAGAGAGAGAGAAAGAACAGAAACAGACAGTGAAAATCAACCATCTGGTCAAGGAGCATAAACCACTTCATAACGACTCCCTGAGGCCCAGGGATGCTCAGAATGCATCACTAGCTTTGGAGAAAATCAAGCTACTCCAGACCTCAGTTATTTAATTAACTCTGAAATGTGTCCAACAGGAGTAAGCTTGATCCTAGGCTCATTTCCTAAAATGAAACCCAAGCCTGAAAAATGGCAGCCTTGGTGGCTTTTCGACAATATTTCCTGAGGCTTAACACTTGGAGACCCTCCACAAAGCCCAACTCCTAAAGCCACACTCCTGATCTTTCCCCATTTACTCAGGAAATTACCTGTCATGTCCATCATTTGCTTTCCCCAATTTCTTTCTGCAAAAGCCCTGAAATTTATCCAGTTGCCTTAAAAGAACAGGCACCTTTCCCCTTTCCCCCACCTTTCTGCCCTCCTCCCCAAATGTCCCTATTTTGGGGCTCTCAAATGTCAGCAAATCTGCAAAGTACACAAATGCTGAGGAAAAGGCAACAGCTAATTATAAGAAAGTAATTAAGAGAGACATCCACGATGATGATAATTGTAATTAGAAATGCCTGGCAATTCCTTATCATGCAGTCAATTGCTACAGCCTCCTGAACTGGGAGGCAACAGCAGCAAAGTTCCCATCAACTGCTCCAGCATGGAGAGGGCTTATTGGCAGTAGTTTAAGAGAGGAAAATTATGACTCTCTTCCTCTGACATCCACATTTTCTCAAGGTCATCTTTGTTCCTCAGAGATCTGCCCCACCATCTAATCCATCAGTGAAGGATTATAGAAGAACACCATTGCCACTCTTGCCAATTTTGTAAGCTTGGGAAATCAGCAGCTACCATCGACCCTGCTTCTTAGTGGGAAGCTAGATGAAATGCTTTCTTCTGACAAGCAGCTAGAGCCCTTCTATCTGCCTGGCACTGGCCTGGGGCAGCAGGTGGCTCCTAATGGTGAGAGCTGCCAATGACCTCTGAACGCCACCCTGCTTCCACATCCACTGCCTAGCCTGAATGCCCACTGAGAGGGCACTATCAGGTTAGACAACAAAGTCCATTTTATGGTAGGTGGAGAGTCTTCTGGCCCCTCCCAAACACAGGTGCTGACCCTGAAGCAGTTGCTTTAGCTTTGTCCAGGCAAGGTAGACTCAGAAGAGCCATTTCAGTTGCCCCACTGGTGGATGGTGTGAGGTCAGCCCATTCTCTGCAAGCCTAGGGTGTGGTGTGTATGGGGAGAGCACTGGCACCTGAGTCCTACTTACTTGTATAAGTGCCTTTCAGGGAGAGTTCTAGTTTATGCTGAAGCCTTCTACGACCCTTCACTTGGAGCTCTAGGGAGCAGCCAGGACCTACCAGCTAACCCACTGGACCCTAACTCCGGTAATCAGCTCTACTCAGAATCACCATGAGCTGCTTACCAGGCTACTAACAAGACCCCAGCCAGTCACCCCTGCTGCCCTGGCTCCCCTGCTCCTATTGGACTTTCCAAACAAGAGCAAATGGGTCAATGTTCCCAATATACACTGGACAACAGGTGTCATCCCCAGCCCCAGGCTGGACCCTGCCAGCTCCCAGTCCTGGCCTCAGCTGCTCCCTCTTTCCTCCATCTCACTCCCATAGGCTGAAGTCCCAGCATGCTCTTCAACTGGGCCCATCCACCTTTCAGCAGACCTTTCCCATCAGCCTGTCAGATTAGCTCATATCTTCACCTGTTTTCTGATCTCAGCGAGCAGTACCTTGATCTCTGGGGATTCTGCTGGGAGTGGAGAGGGCAGTGACCTCTGAACTCGCTGAGTGTCAGGGCTGGAAGAGACCTCAGAGAAAATCGTGTCTAATCCCTTCATTTTATTACATGAACAAACTGAGGCCCATGTGCCCTGGACTTCATGGACACTGTGTGGTGTCTTGGCCAGGGAGGAGTTCGGGGATGAGGCTCCTGAAGACAGAGGCCTCTGGAAGTAGAGGGAGATGAGAGGTGCCCAAGACCATGGGAACTTCACGTCACCCAGGTGAGACGTTCTCCCCTGCCCAGATGGCTTAGGGATTGGAGGAGCGAGTCCAGAGGGAATAGAATAGGGCTGCTATACTTGACTTCCCAGAAGTGTGAGAGCTGGAGAGATAGGCCAGAGGAGCTGCTTTAACACACTGACTGCCTGCTCTACAGGGTGGAGCTGGGCAGGGGGCTTGGAGCAGCTCAAGAGAAGAGTGGGGGAGGACAAAGCCTACCAGTGCCCTGCCAACCCTCACCTCTCTCTGGCCCTTCTGACCCTAGACACCTGATCACTGGCGTACCTCCTGCACCCTCTCCTTAGCTGGAGAATGGAGGGGTCTTTAGGTGCTTTGAGAAAGCCCCACCCTGTCTTTTCCCTTGGTCCCTCCCCAAAGTCCCAAGAACCCCAGCTCAGCCTTGTATCCCGCATACTGGCCCCTCATGACCTGACACACAGAGGACAGCTGACCCATAAATCCTGAGCCTAACTCCAGGGATGTGGTTGCTGTCCCTGTGGTCCCTTCAGACCTCATTATCTCCCTCCCCTCCTCACTGCCCTGGTATTATGCCTGGGCTGTTTGCTTGTCAAAACCTCAATCCATTCATATTTCATAGGTATTGTTTAGACGGTGTTGTTTGAGGCATGAAATATTGATAGCAAATACCCGAGACTCACACGGCCATATTTGGCAATTGGGCCACTGTGTGTTTGTGTACCTGGTGGGGAGGGGACGGGGGTGCTGCAGGGAGAGTCTCCTGAGGAGGGCTGGAGGTGAAACCCATGGCCCTCCCTGGGGCTGGGGTGGCTGACTCCTACTTCAGGAGCCAAGTGTAGCCCTGCAGCAGACAGCCCCTCTGCAGAGGGCTGGGATTTACACAGCAACCACTCCTAAAACATGCAGGTCCCTTAAGTTCTTTCTGACCCCAGGCCCCTGTGAAAGCCAAACCCCTAGGAAGGGCTGAGTTAGGGTTCTGCCACTCTGGCCTCCCTCTTCTCTGCCTCTTGTACCTCTAAACAGGGCCATTTTGTTGAGTCCCTCTTTCTGCTGCTGCATATCCATCTGCTGTGGTGGACAGGGAATCAGAGGTGGGCTGACAGGCTATGTGACTGAGGGCCAGGCCCTCTCCCTGCCCCACTGAGAAATTTGAACCACTGCCCTCTCAGTGTCTGAGCCCTCTTATCTGTCACACACAGGCCATCTCCCACACTCTCACCTTTCACTGAGGTCCTGGACATATGGGGTAGGCTAAAGAGACCTAATGACAGAACCCTGTTCGGGGACAGTATGCTGGAAGGCAGCCCCCCACCTTCAACCCTGATGGAGAGGCCAGGGTGGTAGAAAATGTGATGGCCTAAGTTTAAATTCCATATCTGCCAATTACAATTATGATTGCAAGACAACAAATAAGTATTGAATCTCCCATGTCTCCGTTTCTTCATCTGTAGAATGGGGACGATAGTACAGTCACCACATAATGATGTTTCAGTCAACAACAGACTACACATATGACAGTGGCCCCATAAGATTATACAGAGAAGCGTTTAGCAGAAGCTTTTGCCAACTTCAACAAGCTCCTTAAAAATGCTGAAAACATGATCCACAACACCAAAAGATTTTCATTAATAGAGAAAAATATATTTATGATACATTATCTGCTTACAAGCAAATCTATGGGGAAAAAAAAAAAAACCCATGCAAACCACCATGGACATATTTCTGAAAACAGTGCCACGTCTTTAGAAAAGCCTGAGGCAAGTCCTTCAGGAGGTATTACAGAAGAAGGCATTGTTATCATAGGAGATGACAGCTCTGTGCAAGTTACTGCACCTGAAGACCATCCAGCGGGACAAGGTGTGGAGGCGGAAGACAGTGATACTGACAAATCTGATCCTGTGTAGCCCAGGCTAATGTTTGTGTTTGTGTTAGTTTTTAACAAAAAAGTTAAAAAAGTTAAAAAAAAAAAAAAAGTTAAAATTTTTTAAAGTAGAAAAAAGTTAAAAATTTTTTAAAGTAGAATAAGGATGTAAAGAAAGGAAATATTTGTACAGCTGTACAAAGTGTTTGTGTTTTAAGCTAAATGTTATTACAAGTTGAAATGTTAAAAAAAAACCTAAAGTTTATAAAGTAAAAAAGTTACAGAAAACTAAGATTAATTTATTATTGAAGAAAAAACTTTTTAATAAATTAGTGTAGCCTAAGTGTGCAGTGTTTATGAAGTCTGCAGTAGTGTGCAGTCCTGCCCTGGTCTTTCGCATTCAGTCACCACTCCCCCACTCACTCACCCAGAGCAACTTCCAGTCCTGCGAGCTCCATTCATGGTAAGTGCCCCACAGAGGTGTACCATTTTTTATCTTTTATACTGTATTTTTACTGCACTTTTTCTATGTTTAGATACACAAATACCATCACGTTATAATTGCCTATAGTATTCAGTACAGTAACACGCTATACAGGCTTGTAGCCTAGGAGCAATAGACCATATCATAGAGCCTAGATGTGCAGTAGGCTACACCATGTATGTTTGTGAGTACACTCTATGATGGCTGCACAACAACAAAATCACCTAACAACACATTTCTCAAAACATGTCCCCATTGTTAAGCAACACGTGACTGTACCTCTCACATGGGTTGTTGCAAAGATTTAATGAAATACATTTAAAGTGCTTAGACCAGTGCCTGGCGCACAGTGAGAGCTCAACAAGCATGAGATGCTATTATTATTTCTCTCTCTCTTGACTATAAAACAGGGCATTGGAACACATCACCCTTTGGGTCCTTCCACTGCTGACACTCTTGATGCTTCTAGGGCTGCCTTGTCTTCACCATATCACCTAAAGCACCTGGAAACTTGAAATGCTTCCACTGGGCTCCTAGTCCTGGGTCACCAAGGCCAGGCAGAGACTCCATCACCCAGCTCCACCAAGAAGCCAGGAGGGCTCAGCCACCCTAGTTTG